TTTTGAGACAGAGTCTCATTCTGTTGCCCCAGCTACAGTGCTGTGGCATCAGCCTAGCTCACTGCAACCTCAAACTCCTGGGCTCAAACGATCCTCCAGCCTCAGCCTCCCGAGTAGCTGGGGGCTACAGGCGTGCGCCACGCCCAGCTAATTTTTCTATTTTTAGTAGAGACAGGGTCTCACTCTTGCTCAGGCTGGTCTTGGACTCCTGAGCTCAAGTGATCCTCCTGCCTTGGCCTCCCGAGTAGCTGGAACTACAGGCGCACGTCTCTGCACCTGGCTAATATTTTTCTATTTTTAGTTGCCTGGCTTTTTTAATATATATTTTTTAGTAGAGCCGGGGTCCCACTCTTGCTTGGGCTAGTCTCGAACTCCTGACCTCAAGCGATCCTCCCGCTTTGGCCTCCCAGAGTGCTAAGATTACAGGCGTGAACCACCATGCCCGGCCTCTCACAGTTTAATTTCAAGTGAATGAGAATGCTTATCAATCAAGTTCTCATTTATTAGCTTTCTGTTCATAGGATCAGAAGTTTAAAAATTGACGTCAAGATGTCTAAGACATGCCCTTTTTGAGACAGTCTTCCTCAACAGCTGAAAGCAGCAGAGGGGTGGCATTCCTGAAGAAAGGGTAGGACCAGCAGTCTTTGGATGGTGCCAACTTCAGCAGGTGCTCTTAGTATACCAATATTAAGCCTTGCTAGCAAAGTAATACTGGTAAAAAAAAAAAAAAAAAAAGAAAAAAAGAAACATAAGCTTAACATCTTATTCTAAGAGACTCAAACATATTTTAAAAGTATTAAAAACAATCTAATAACGGTAATGAAAATAGTGGATTAAAAGTTACATGGCCTACCCAGAAATCCTTTCCCTACCACTTAGAAGTTACATCTATGTTAGGAAAGTCTCAAGGACCATGTCAATACCTCATCTGTAAAATATTAGTATTAGATATGAATATTTGGCTTGCCTATGTCCTATGGTTATTGTGATATTTTGGCAAGATAAAACTCATGATGGCATCTCAAACTAAAATTCTGATATAAGCGACATTTATGTCACCAGTATAGCTGTTATAAGTTTGGCCTCTGGAGTGGGACAGCCTTGAGTCTGAATCTTGACTTTATCACTCTGGGCAAGTTACTTATTATTATTCTCCTGAATCCTTGGGTTCCTCATCTATAAAATGGGATTAGTAAGTGTCTACCTCACAGGGCTGGAGTGAAGATTAGACATAAGAAATTAAGTACTTTCTTAGCACAGTACTTGGTTCCAAGTAAAAGCTCAATAAATATCATCTGCTATCACTGTCGCCTTTAGAAAGGAACGTGTGCTTTCCAGCTTAACCACCTCCTTAGAATTCCTGTGTTAACAGTTCAACAGTAAAGGCGTGTATGTATACTTATGGATGTACACACATACACACACACAAGGTCATAAAAAGTTCTGGTTGCTGGGGCAACTTTACCTTCTGATTCATTGTATGTGGAGTGAGTAGGAGAGGTCTGCTTTGAAAAGCAGTTAAGAATCCTTCTGATTTAAAAAGACAGCTCTAGGAATTAAATATATGCATGGCTGTAATCCCTTTCTATCTGAACATGTAAATAAAAGGATGAAGGGAAAACAGAGGTAAGAGAGAACTGCCTCATCCAGAAAACAGCCATCCCACCTCCAGTAAAGATGAATGAAAAGACTACCTGAATGTCGCTGAAGTGGAAACAAAGCTGCTGGGAAGGGCCCTTTGTGATGCCAACCTGGTTCCTCAAATAATTAAGGACACCTTAGAAAGAAGCGTCCCAATCACCTCTGAATGACAACACAGAGTTAGATCAAACAGTTAAAACTGGTAAAGGTGTTACCTAACTCTACCTAAGTGTTCACATTTACTTTATGTTTGTGTATTTTCTTTTAAATATAGTACTTGAAAAAACTATAACTGGGTATTTTATAATTTTTTTTAAATGGAGAATCCTTTTTTGGTCATTTAAAAAAAATAGGTGAATAGGAAAGCATGCTAACGGACTTCAGTTAACCGCACCTCTGAGGAAGGTCACCAGAGGGTAGCATACCCTAGCTACAGGCATAGTTCCTAGAGAGAAAGAAACAGCTACCTGAACGCTAAATTCACAAAACCAAATATAAAAGTAACATTATTTCTATTTACAAGCCTATAAATTATATTCTTGATCTCACAGGATTGGATGACATTTTATCCCAAATGTCAACATCTTGCAATAGAACGTCAGCAGCCATTGCCCTAGCAGGCCCCGAGGCACATGTAAGTATTCAGTGGTATTAAAAACTGTGTCAGTCATACAGTGGCAGTAAAATGAGGATGTGGCCTTCTGATTTAGACATCCCTGTACAGTCTACTTGTTCTCACCTCATGGCTTGGCATCCTGTTAATGAGATAAGCAGGGGGTGTCCCCGTCAGACGCATTATCTGCTGAAGCTGGTTAATATCTTAGATGCCTAGTCAAGGGCATTATTAAACATACAGTGCAAAAAATAACTTTCAAGTAGAGTTTTTAAAAAGGTTAAAAACCCACCCCAAAACAAACAAAAAACCTTCTCCCCACCCTAACCCAAGAGCCCAAGGTTGCATGTTAAAGTACACTTCCATGTGTGGCATGAGTTACTAGGCACACAGCCAGTGACTGGCCATGCAGGTAAGAAAAATTGATTTTCTTTGGTTTTAGCATCATCTTTTTGTTTTTTTTTTGAGACAGAGTCTCACTCTGTCGCCCGGGTTAGAGTGCCATGGCGTCAGCCTAGCTCATAGCAACCTCAAACTCCTAGGCTCAAGCGATCCTCCTGCCTCAGCCTCCCGGGTAGCTGGGACTACAGGCACCCGCCACCACGCTCGGCTAATTTTTTTTTTTTTATATATATATTTTTAGTTGTCCAGTTAATTTCTTTTTATTTTTTTAGTAGAGACGGGGTCTCGCTCTTGCTCAGGCTGGTCTCGAACTCCTGAGCTCAAAGGATCCACCAGCCTCAGCCTCCCAGAGTGCTAGGATTACAGGCGTGAGCCACCGCGCCCAGCCTTAGCATCATCTTTGACATTAAATATTTTAGGTTCCCTGGAAATAGACTGCCCCTTGATCCAGGATGCCAGCCAGAGAACTGTTTTCAAGTACTGATGGCCAAAACCTGTTTGTCTATTGGGTAAATATAGGTGACTCGAAAATTCTGACTCAACTTTGAACAAAATAAAATATTCAATATATCCATTCAAGGAAGAGACTAGACTTTTGCGGCACAGGTTCTTTAAGACACCACCCCTCCAAATTAAGACACAGGTGGGTTGATAAGCAATGCTGAACTTCAAAGACATTAGCAGTGGTACATTTAAAATACCTGCCATAAGCACAAACTGGTAAATGAAGAAAGGGGAGACGGGGAGAAAGTTAGAGGCTAATGGCAAAGGCAAAACAGAAGTCACAGGCTGCACATGGTATTACGGCATGCCACAGTGATTTCTTCTACTAGTCCCTTTAACAAGGAAATAGACTAAATCCACTTGACAAACAGCAGGGACGACGTTTTTGAAACACTGTAATTACCTGACAAGGGCAAAACTATGAGGTTTTCCACATGTGCAAGCATATATGTAAGCTGTACTCCAGACTTCTCTCTCTTAACTGTCCGATCAATGCTAACACAGTTCCCTCTTATAAAATATTATGAGAACTGTTAGTTTATCATGTGTATCTACAAAAAGCAGAAGTGATGGCATTTTTAAAATCCTCAACATAATTCAGCAAACCCCTTTTCTGTTCCCTTTCTTGTTAACTATTAATTCCCTCTTTCAGTTGAAGCATCATTTTCAGTAAGCACCGTGGCCAAGTAATCTCACTTCTTTGTGATTTCGCTGAATAATATTTTGACTTTAGCTCATTCTCTAAGCTGAAGTCCCAAGTGGTCAGACAACTTGGCAGGAGTCTGTTTAATGCATGTTGAAGGCTGGTCCTGGGGAGAGAGCTGGGGCCGGGGGCCCCACACAGCCTTTTGTGCTCCCTGAGCCCAAGACAGAAGCCAGCCAATTCAAAAGGTGGTATGAAGTTCTTTTAACATTCTCACAACAGAGTTTAGATTTACCTTTACACAACAAATAGTACTTTGCATGCCAAGAGAAATAACAAAACAGGATCACAAAGTAAACCACCAATAGCAGAATGCCAGTGGGGTTTTAAAATGTTAAAATTCTGCCGCCTCTCCCTTACCTTCTGTGAATAATACCTGGCCTGTACGTTTTCTGTTTCTGTCTCCTTTAGTCAAATATCTCCTTCCTGTCAGGAGGTTAGGGAGATGGTATTTCTAGAAAAAAATGTGAATGAGCCAGGCTTTTGCTTTCTTAATATGACTTTTTGGTACTTTCACTGATTACTACTATAAGTACTGTGCTAACAACCAAATAAATTCTCTACCCTTAGGCCTCCATCCATGACCCATTTATCCTCTTTCCCACGGCAATCCTGGTATGTTCTCAATCCAGTATTGCATTCTCTTACCAGAATGTCCTATAATTTGCTGATGGAACTTCTTCATAAATGCTGGCATCAGTACTACTTTTCAGGAGTAACGAAAATAGTTGTTGGCTTTCTGTTTACTAATTCCTTCACTAATGCCTTTTTTCTAATTTTTAAAATCTTTGAACGATTTTACTCACCTGTCTTAGCTACTTTTCCATTCTGTACTTCATACACCACGTGCTTTTAAGATAAACAGGTACTTGGGCAGTGTCGCTAACATCATATTAAGCTCGACTATCCTTTAGAATATTTAAACTACTTTTGTCCACTCACCACAATTATGTAGAAAAAAATCCTCTTATTCTTACACTCAATACAATATTATTTGAGTTAAATTCTATATTCTGATATTCAATTTCATCATGCCCAATGCTATAGTAGAGCTGCTGAAATGTATGATGTGCACCCCAGTGTTCGTTCATTCATTCTTTCTTTTTTTGAGACAGTGTCTCGCTCTGTCACCTTGGCTAGAGTGCAGTGGCATCATCATAGCTCACCACAACCTCAAACTCCTGGGCTCACACTGTCCTCCTGCCTCAGCCTCCCAAGTAGCTGGGACTACAGTTCTGTGCCACCACACCCAGCTAATTTTTCTTATTTTTTGTAGAGATGGAGTCTCACTATTACCCAGGATGGTCTCAAACTCCTGGCCTCAAGCGATCTTCCTGTCTCGACCTCCCAGAGTGCTAGGATTACAGGTGTGAGCTACTGCACCCAGCCCGGATTATTGTTTCTTTCTTAAAAATAAATGATTGGCCGGGCGCGGTGGCTCACGCCTGTAATTCTAGCACTCTGGGAGGCCCAGGCAGGTGGAATTGCTTGAGCTCAGGAGTTCAAGACCAGCCTGAGCAAGAGCGAGACCCCGTCTCTACTAAAAATAGAAAAATTAGTCGTGTGTCGTGGCATGGGTCTGTAGTCCCAGCCACTCAGGAGGCTGAAGCAGGAGGATCACTCGAGCCCAGGAGTGAGCTATGATGACACTACTATACTCTAACCAGTGTGACACAGAGAGACTGTCTCAAAAAAAAAAAAAAAGATGGATTAGTGATGAATAAATACTGTTTTATCCACACTTTGTCTTTTAGAACCTCTTGTGACTAGGAGTACGTATCTATAGGGCAGACGGTTGGGATGGAAGAGGGAACTGAGAAGGGGCTGCCGGCCGTCATTCCCAGACAGGAAATGAATTTACTATCTTAGTCTCATTATCATTACTCATAACTAATGAGCTTTTTTCTGGCCCTTGCCCTGCCCCCATGTCCTCTTACTAGCCAATCTCTTTAAGCAAATGCATTTTTTAAAAAAAACACTGTCCTTTCTAAGCATCATCTGATATCTTCTTCGATTCACTCTAATCCAGCTTCTTCGTATCATAACGCAAAAGGAAACACTTCCTCAGGTTGACACTGTGGTCAGTAATTCTGACAATGACCTTCAAAACAGCGTGCAATCACATGAGATTACAGTTTAGATCATGCTATTAGAACATCTGGGATCTATACTCAGCCCTGCCTTTCTGTGCTTTTGCTTCCTCATCTTAAATAAGTAAACAAAACAAAATGAAATAGGACCAGCATTACATAACCCTCAGAGTGGAAATTCAGAAATATCCCGGGATTTGTGGTCCTTTCAAGAAATGTACCGTATACATACCAGATGATGGTGTTCATTTTGTCAGGAAGGTGATAAACAGTTCAAACTCACCTGCTCATGCCTGCCTCCAGCTACCAAGCAGTCTTCCCAACCGGGCAAAGGCCCCTTTAGTCAGAAATGCTGAGAGGAGAATCCAGGAAGGCACAACTGGAGCCTGGCTCCGCAGCTCTTTTTCCCTTTTGTCCAACTGCCTGGCGGCAGATAGAGGAGAAAAGGCAGAAAAGCTGGGCTTTCGTGGCTTCTCTCATGCCTCTGACTTAAGAAAAGGATCAACAGCGGGACATCACAGCCAAAGAAAGCCAGAGTCACATTTCCAAGACTTCTGTCTAAATCCCTGCAGGGAAGCAGTAGGTCCAAAGTCTTTTCTCAAGTTATTCAACTTGTAATTACAAAGGCAGGCTGTGGGAGGAAGGATTTATAACCATACTCCTGTGGATCTGAGGCATCAGGAAAGGAGGACTTTCCTCTGAGTGGAATGGAGACAGGGTAGAAAGGCACCTCTGTTGGGAACGGGTACCTTACATAGAATGTGTGAGTTGTCTGTTCTAAAGCAATAAAAAGCAAGTAACTTCTGGAAAAGGGTAATAGTGTGCAGACAATGCACATTTCATTCCTTTAGTGAAGTTAGATTATTAAATGGTGAAGCTCATGCTCTGAGAACAAACACCAAAAAAAAGTGAAAAGAAATCTTAAGTATACGTGAAATTTCTGAGAAAAATGAAGTCAGGCCTTGAGAACAGAGATGCAAATTTCCATTCATCTCTTGGAATGAATTAGAATCTCAAATCTCATTGTTTTACTGGGATACTATGGCCCAATAGAGGATCCCGTGATCTAAGTCCCCCGATAAAGAGAGAACAAAACACGCTCACGCATGCAAGCAGGCACGTGTGCGCACGCGCACACACACCCCCTCATCCCGGAAGTCAGCACACAAAGGGCATGCATGCTCGCACACATACTCGGGTCAAAGTACAGACTGATAGAAGGCAAGTGGCAGAGGCTCCCAACAGGGCAGATAATTACAATCAAAGCATCAACTCACAGACTCTGAGGAGATTTTCTTCAAAAGCTCAGCCCCTGGGGTTCCAACGAGTCTTAAAATGAGCTTCAACTGATCAATATCTAATGGTGGACTATAAAGGAAAATGTTGGGACAAAATAAAAATGAAAAACAAACAATACAAACAAAACAAAACAAAACGAAAACAAACAAAACATCCCAAGAACAAAAATTAAAAACCCCAAACCTAGCTAACATAGTGAATTCGTCTAGGTCCAGGCATCTGTAGGATGGTCACTGCAAGCAGGACATGCTCCTCTGGACAAAGATTCAAAATGCTACCATACACATATCCAATTTATGTGCATCTTGTGCATCTGTCGCATGTCAGTAAAGTGAAACTTTAGGTGGGTTCTGAGCTGCCAAAGACAGCGGATGAAAACACAAAAGCTTCGCTCAGTCCATACCTCCTCACCTTCCACCGAAGCATCAGGAGCCAGTCAGGCAAAGAGCACTGGTAGTCAGAAGGCCACGAATAAGAAAAAAGCAGCAGAGCATAGTAACTGGAAATGTGCAAGTCTATCTGTGAATATTCCCCTAAGGCCGACCTAAAGAGCTTGTACTACGACAGCGGGAGACTTGCCTAAGATCCCAAAGCCCGAGCAGTTGAGAGTGCCCTCTAGAAAACCTGCCAGTGAGAGTCGGCCAGCAGAGGGCACTCTCCCACCGCACGTTCTTTCAGGAGCACCACGAAAAAGCAAAACAGCAGGCTTCAACCTTACAAATGCAAAACGGATATAAAAAGCTTAACAAACTCCACACATCCCGAAGGCTCTAAATAAAAGGCCACGATGCCCAAACCTTTATTCTGATAGACAATACTTCCAACCCAGAATGTATTTGTGTCTATTAATCGGAAGACAAAAAAATTTCCATTTGTTCTAACTGCTTGTAGTCCTAACCTAAAAAGGGAAGTTAAAAAGAGAGAAAAAATGTTATAAAATAGTTTATCCACCATACTGATACTCAGGGGGAGGGAGGGAGGATGACTGTCTTCTGACCCCTGTCAGGTTTTTCACTCTAATCCTTCAGGTCTCAACTTCTACTTCACCTCCTAGGAGAGGCCTCCCCCAACACTACACAAACAACACCCCACTCCCTTACGCTCTCTCTCAGCACCAAGCTTGATAACATCATAGTGCTTACCACAATCTAGAATTACTTTGCTTACTGTCTGTTACCTCTCCTGATCTATATCTCTAGGAGGGCAGGGGCCACTCTGCCTGTACATCACTGATCCCCAGTGCTTAGCCTAATACCTGGTAAATGGCACTCAAAATATTAATATTTGAGGAAAAGGTAGAACAGGATGAAGACGACAGATGTTTGCTTATGATTAGATATATAAAGGCAATACAGTATAACTTAAAAATAATGCCTGCTTCAAGACATAGTTGCCTTAGTTCTAGGAATTACTTATGCAATAATATGACTGGCATCTTGCCTTTCTTTTTTTTTTTAGATATGAAACTGGCTTAAGTGGAAGAAAATTCTAGACAGGAGTCAGCAAATACCAGCCACTGCCTATTTTATAAATAAAGTTTTATTAGAACATAGCCATACCCATTTATTTATGTACTGTCTATAGCCGCTTTCTCAACAACAAGCAGTGTTAGAACAGAAACCATGATTCCCAAGCCTAAAATATTTACTACCTAGTCTTTTAAGAAAAGGTGTGAACCCCATCCTAGACTCAAACAACTTGTGTTTTATAGAAAACAAAGATAAATTAGAAACAAGTCCACCCACATAAGTTATTTGTAGATTAACAATAGTAGGGAATTTTGTCATCTGCAAATGACAAAAATAAGTGTTCTGAAAGTTAAAATTTTAACATTGGTTTCTTCGTTCAAAGTATTGACAAGAAAAAAAATTTAAAGCTTGTTTATGGGGGCAGAGCAGGAGTGGGAGTAGGATGGATACTATTTTCATCTAAAATAACCAAATTTTATCACAATAGAAATCAGGAAAAGTCCTCTTTGCTCACTTAAAATGACTCAATTTGTAAAAATTTAGTTCCCTCACACCCACCCTCTTCCAGATCATATTTAACTGGGTAGTTACCACAAAATAAAGTACATCACATATGAGAAAAACTAGACTACTTCAACTCTCAAACAGGTGGTTTTATAATACACGCATCAAAACTAATTCATAAAATAAAGTTGTTGAGACTGGTACTCTTTAAGAGACTTTTTTCCCAACTACTTAAAATTAGAGTCAGGTTTTATACTTTAAGAAAGACAAAAGACTCTCCAAGCTGTGACTTTCTCAACTCCCCTAATTGCACCCCAACCTGCCTAAAGAACACGCAACTCTCACTAGCCGGTGGCTGATGACAACAATGAGCTGGGGACTCCATGTCTTTCTCCCCCTGTGCCCGTATCAAATCATCTCAGGCCTAAAGAATCAAGCCCCACATTCACAGCCCTCCATGATTTGGCATCAAGCTTCTTTTCTGACTCTGCCTCAAATCTTTATTCCTAATGCACTCAATGCTACGGCTCACACCAAATATTCCAGGCACTTCTAAGCTTCCAAGTTCTTATTTATGCGAATCATAAACAGGAATATCTTCCTTCTCCCCTCCTAATAAGCCTTTTTTCTCTTCCTATTTATCCTTCGAAGTCCTGCTCAAACAAGAACTCTTCCTGGATATCTTGAGTTCAAATTAATTCTCTACTTTTTTTCAATAACTTATTTATACCTCTATTATAATGTTTTTTATCATTCTATCTTATTTACAATCAGAGGTAGACACTTGTTCAAGTGACTCCTATAACTCATTGAGTCTGATCATTCTGGTTTTAAGGACAGGTACCATCTTATCCCTAGCACCTTCCATATAGTAGTTTGAAAAGACTAGTAGTTGTAATATTCTTCCAATTCAGCTCCAACTCTCCACCTTGCCCTCAAAACCCAGAATGACTATACTCTATGGAGAAGCACACAGTATGAAATAAAAATCTACTTAGTAGCTAAGAGCATTTGAATGAAGGAAATCAAAGCATGCAAATCACCACAGGTTCTCCAAAAGCTGGCAAATCCACTGAAATACAGGCCAGTCCTCCAACAGTGCCAGCTACTTTAAGACCACTACAATTTGTCCCAGCAGTTAAGACCAGAAGGAGCTTCAAGTAGCTAGATGAGCAGAGCAAAGCAAAATTTACCATATCATGACAATTAGTTATTTCCACAGCAAGCCATACTTCATAATAAGTTTAACCTCTTTATCCCCCTAGGTAGAAGATACTTTTACTATTAGTTCACAATGTTTTAATCGTAATGATCATAATGTCAAAATTTAAACCATAAATCCCCTGAACTGTTCTAAAACAAAGAAAAGGATAACTTAAGTCTAAGGTTACTCTTTAGACCAAGTCCTCTTTAACAGAAGCAAAAGGCAGTCAGATTGAGCAGGTAAGGAAAAAAAAAAAAGGGATAACGGGATAATTAGAGGGAAAGTAAAAGAGGGATATTCTAGTCACTCCTAATTGCTCTGGCCAACTCCTAGAAAACCTCCACAGACCAGAGAGTTGAAGATGAATAGAAGTACCAGCTGCAGGACCTACCTTCCTGTGAGCAGCAGTTTTCAATGAGATAAATCCACACACGGGCAAAGCAGAACACTGATCTTGGGAGGGTTGGAAACCCTCCTGGCGACAGACAGAGCGGATGAGAATGGGATTTAGCCCACTTCTTTCTCTTCCAGGCTCTCAAAATGTTCATTTTCACTCTCACACAAAGAAAATTTCTTAAGGTTCCCTCAGTTTGGGAACAGATCTGAGAATTCTGCCATCTCTTGGAAAATACATTCTCAAGTTACAGAAGAAAGGGCAAATAATCTAATAAGGTATTTTTCTTCTTCAACATTTATTAGGGCAATTGCTTTTAGTGTCTAAAGTGAAATTGCTTTTTAAAAATGAGAGAGCACATTTGTACCAGTGACTGAAAGTGAGCGGTAGATGTGACAAGAAGGGGCTTCCAGAAGCTTCAGCTTCACTGTCAGTTTTCTCTCTCAATCTGGGTGGTATGAACATAGGTGTCCATTGCATTATTCTTCGCCTTGTAGTATGTTTGAAATATTCACAACGTTTGAAAAAGATCAAAAGAAGAAATGAATAGAAGTAGAACTAAGGAGCAAATTTAATATACTACAAAAATTCACATGGAGCAGGGTAGCGGCTGCTGGCAAGTGGACTGTAACTCAGCAGCACCATCGCCCTTGGTTAATGTCTTAAGAGCCACTTCTATTAAAATAAAAGGAGGGAGGTTTTACACATGAAGTAAATGTACTTGATCATGCAGGAAAGGGAAACAAGAGCAAGCCAAGACTGTGCTATCTGGTAGAAAAAACAGTAACTGAGGCCGGGCGCGGTGGCTCACGCCTGTAATCCTAGCTCTCTGGGAGGCCGAGGCGGGCGGATTGTTTGAGCTCAGGAGTTCGAGACCAGCCTGAGCAAGAGCGAGACCCCGTCTCTACCAAAAATAGAAAGAAATTAATCGGACAACTAGAAATATATAGAAAAAAAAATTAGCTGGGCATGGTGGCGCATGCCTGTAGTCCCAGCTACTCGGGAGGCTGAGGCAGGAGGATCGCTTGAGCCCAGGAGTTTGAGGTTGCTGTGAGCTAGGCTGATGCCACGGCACTCTAGCCTGGGCAACACAGTGAGACTCTGTCTCAAAAAAAAAACAAAAACAAAAACAAAAACAAACAAACAAACAAAAAAAACATCAGAAAACTGACTAAAAGGGAACTTCCCGACACGATAAAGAGCATTTATGAAAAAATAACAGATAACATCATACTCAGTGGAAAGAGACGGAAAGCTTTCCCTCTAAGACAGGAAGAAGACAAGGATGCCCACTTTCACTGCTGGTATTCAGCACTGTACTGGAAGTTCTAGACAGAACCATTAGACAAGAGAAAGAAATGAAAGCATCTAAACTGGAAAGGAAGAAATGAAAGTTTATTTGCAGATGACATGATTCTACATATAGAAAATCCCAAAGAATCCACAAGAAAGTTTGTAGAGCTAATAAATAAATTGAGCAAATTTGC